GCAGAGAACGACCATGGGATTTTGGTCCTTTTGCCTCCACCTTGTGTGTTATATTCCTGGTGTATGCACGCTGGCAATAAAAACCCGGGCTTTGTGAGTGCTAAGTGTTCCTGCGGCATTTCTGATGCTCTGATAAAATGCTCCGACAAGAAGCACTTTACCAGATAAAGGGGTTTATTCTGCTTATAATTCCAGGTTACGGTTCATCATAGCAGAGCAGTCACACTGGCTCGAAGCAAATTGTCATGTCCTATCCACAGCCAAGAGCAGAGGAAAAATAGATGCATACAGACCAGCTTTCTGCTCCATTAGCTCTCTTTACTCCGATACAGTCCAGAATCTCTGCCCAAGGATTGATGTGATCCTCCTATATCAATTAGCTTAATTACAGTGTTCTCCTACAGAAAGTCCATGGACCAATCCAATGTAGACACGCGCTCCTTAATTCTCTCTTCCTGGGTGATTGTAGGTGTGTCAGGTTGAGCATTAAAACTAAGCATCACCTTGGGCATGTCCTCTACCGACATAGCTGTTCCATGGCTCCCCGGTCCCCTGCTATTCCTCATTATTCCTGCTTCTCTTTTACCTCTGAACTTTGGAGAGGATCTTTATCAGAGGACCCTCTAACACCTTGGTCTTCCCTACCTCCTTCCCCCAGGGATATTTCTCTGACCAAATCACTTTCTCTACACCTCCTTGGTCTTACCTGAGTTTTTGTGTTTTACTTTCCAAAGGTCTCTTCTTTCCTTATGCATCATGAGTTTTGTTTTCACCTCCAACTCTATTCCCATGTTGTATCAACTGAACATTCTTCCAAAGATGGGTTTAGGATATGTTACTGCTTTTAGAAATAGACAAATTGTCACTTGAACGATTAATTGATATCTACTTTTTCCTACTTCATTCTTTTGGGATGCTTTCTTCATGCAGCAGAGTACCCTTTCCTTGGAAAGCTGCCTTTGGGCTAGCTCTCCTATTATCCCACTTATCAGTGGGCTTCGGTAATGGTCCTTAGTTTGAAGTGTAGTAAGCTATTTAAGGTTCCATTCTATCATCTTTCTAGCACTACAGGCCAGCTTCAGAAAGTTATTTGCCGTAACAAGTTTCAAGAATGATCAGTGTTGAAGAATGAGAAGCCTTACATCACCTCCTCCAATGATCTCATGAGCAAAGTGATAGTCTCAAGCAACAGCAAAACAGATTTCTGTTGAATTTGAAAAAAAACAACAACAAATGGTTGAAATAATACTTGATATCAACATGGTTTTCACTAGTGAAAGGATGCGACTCTTTTTCTGAGCTGAGATGAAAAATCTCGATTGTGTCTTCAAGTTTATTTTCTATAGAAAGAAGCAAGATGGAAAACGGCGGGAGTGAGAAGTGGAAGTAGGATTTGATTGATTGACAAGTTGCTGGTAGGGACATCTGGCTGGGCATGTTCAGTCATATGGGGGTGTTGAGTTTGCATTCCAACTACCATTTCTCAGCTGAATAACTGGTATGAGACCTTTCTTTCTCCCAGTCTCCTTACTGATAAAGTGATATGGCTAAGGTGCCAGCATTGTAGCATGGAGAAATCTTAATGATGTCCGAGAACTGTCAAGGGCTCGCTCTTAAGGGGAAACATCTTCCATGTATTCTAAAAGCAGCCAACAAATGGATAGTGATGCCTCTAGAAGGCAGATGGGTAAGAACGACAAAAAGAATGTCATCATGCTATCTGTAAGCCTGAAGATTGGGCTTCCTGGAACCAGGGAAGGAGATTCTCAAACTGAGAAAAGTTTGTGTAATTCTATTTTCATGCTGCCTCAACATCAAGACACATGAAGCCAGAGGAAAATCTTAGTTTGTGAACTTCTGACTAGTAGCCTCAGAATCACCTGAGAATTACTTAGATATGCACGTTTTGAGACCTCATTATTGATTGAGTTAGAAGGTAGAGGAGTGTGGGTTAGGAAGTTTCTGATTCTAATACAGGCTGAAGTCAGAACCCTTCTCCGCCTTTGCTAGGATTTGGGCTGATTTCCTGGTAAGATTATGGGTGTGTTAGGACTGAAACAGGGATAACACCTTTGCCGCGATGACGTGTCTGGTATGGAATCTGATAAGACTGTGGCTACATAACCACAATTTGCTTCAATATATGAATAAGTTAAGAGAAAATAACTTTTAAAACGAATACTAATCGCAAATCTTTGAATCACATTTTTTTTTATTTTTAAAGAAACAGAGTGACTTTAATGCCAAACTCTATAATAAGATAATCAATAGCTAAATCTACTCTTCAACTCTAACCTCTGAAACTATGGCTTGTGCATACTATCTATGTTTTCTATTCAACGTCCTATCATCGTTCTTCCCAATTCTCATACAAAAACTATATTAACCATCTTTCTTTCAAGGATAGCGTCATTTATTCTGACAATACAACTAGCATTTATTCACTATAGAAACTCTGGAAAATTCACTAAAATATTGGCAGCAAAAAATCCCACTTTCAATTACATAGAGACGACCCCTAATATGTTGCACTCACTCACTTATTTCTGGTACATTCCCATATGTTTCATTATGATACATTATCATCTATTATACATGTGGATTTATATCAGTGTCTTTACCTACTCTCCTGCATGGGCTTACTAATGGCCTGGAGTTTCTGACAGGAATCTTTGACGTACCCTTACCTTTCTTTCACGGGTTGATGGTTCTATGAACCGCTTTTTTTTTTTTCCTCTTCCTGCACAGTTCAGACTCCTTCTCCCTCCTGGAACCGCCTAGGTTTACTGGGGTCTTGAGCTACCTACAGCATGGCACTGAACAGATCGTTCAAGCATTGCATGCCTTTCTGAAGTGTTCCAGATAGGAGCAGTCTTGCAGTCTAAGCCAGGGACCCCTGTACCCACATAGGCTCTGAGCAAACTGGCTTACTGTCCTCACAGAGTTTCCATTTATTTTTTTTTGAACTTTTGAAAAAGTTATTTAATTAATTTATTTTTATACAAGTTCTTGTTGTTTAATCCTGGCTGGCCTGGAACTCTCTGTATATTTCTGAATATATACTCTCTGTATATATTCAGACTGGCCTGAAATTTACAAAGATCCACATACCTCTGCCTCCCCAGTGCTGGGATTAAAGGCATATGCCACAATGCCCTAGAAGGTATTATCTCTTAATGGCTGAGCCATATCTCCAGCTTACCTCCCTGTTTTAAACAATTTTTAAAAACTATCTTTTCTCATTTTACATATCAATTCCAGTTCCTACTCTCTCCCCTTCTCTCACTTTCTGTACCTTGTTCCCCCATCACCCCCCCCATCTACTCCCCAGAGAGGGTAAGACTTCCCATTGAAAGTCAACAAAGTCTAGAACAATACTTTGAGGCAGGACCAAGGCCTTCCCCACTATATTTAGGATGAGCAAGGTATCCCTTCAAAGAGAATGGGGTCCAAAAAGCGAGTACAAGCAGTAGAGATAAATCCTGGTATCAGTCATACAACTGTCACCCACATTCAGAGGACCTAGTTTGGTCCTAAGCTGGTTCCCTCACAGACAGGCCAGAATAGGTGAACTCCCATTTGCTCAGATAAACTGTATCAGTGGGCATCCCCATCATGGTCTTAACCCCTTTGCTCATAGTATCGCTTTTCCCTCTCTTCGGCTGGACTTTGGGAGCTCAGTCCAAGGCTCAGCTGTGGATCTCTGCATCTGTTTCCCTCAGTTGCTGGGTGAAGGTTCTATGATGACATATACCAAAGTCATCAATCTAACACCTGGGCAAGGCCAGTTCAGCTACTCTCTTCACAATTGCTTAGGGTCTTAGCTATGGTCATCCTTGTGAACTCCTGGGAATTTCTCTACTGTCAGGGTTCTTGATAGCCCCATAATGACTCCCTCAATCAAGGTATCTCCTTCCTTATTCTCCCTCTCTATTCTTTCCAACTTCTCTGTCTTTCTTATCCCTACTACTGATTATACTATGTAAATGTCTGCTACAATGCAAGGACCTCCTCAAATTTTAACACACCTCCACTACTACTACTTTACTCCTTGCCTTTCTTCCCTTTTTACTTTTCTGAACTGCCTTATAGACTATCTGTTGTCCTTATTTAACTTGCCAATTGTCTGCTTTCCCTGAATGGAAAATCCTCACCACAGAAGTTACAACATTTGCTTATATTGCGTTCTATGTCCTATTCTAAAACCTACAGGAGTACTTGATTTGTAACAATATGTATGTGAGATAGGAAATGAATGGATATGTAAATGAATGTGTACTCTCAAATAAGACAAACCTCTGATTTTAATGATTTTGCACTCTAGGGCTAGTTAGTCTATGTGAATCCAAGTGCCCAGTTAAAAATGTCACGCTACAGAACTGGAGATTGCTGAGTGATGATGAAGTCACTTATAGCAGCCTGCAGCTCTAGGTCCAGAGCACATCTTACTCTCCCTCTGGTCTCTATAAGTGCTAGCACACAGTGGGATGCACACACATACTCATAAATAAAAGCAAATCTTAAAAATAAATAAATGTCATTTCCCAAAGCTTTTCTTAGCACTTACAGTAAAGATGATCTCTCCATTTCTTAAAGTACCCTCACCTCTATGTTTTTTTCTAGTGGCATTAACATGTTAAATCATTTGTTTTCAATGTTAATCAGTCATTAACAAATTAAATCATAATTATATGTGATCTTTCAGATCGAGTGATATCTAAGCTCCTTAAATGCAGGCAGACACCCATTATATTTCTACATCCTGCCATCCTTTGACAACAACATGCAACAAATTGCTTTAAAAATAAATTATTGGCAAAACTGATATTGCCAAAACAAAGGAGATTGCACATAGTAACATGTACCATTTGCTTGGTTGGTAAGGATGTTCAAGTTTAATCATACAAAAAAAAGGAAAAAAGACCACTTGATGTCTGTACATTGATGATTCTTGTTTTCAAAAGGAAATGACTATGTAAGAATTATCAATATCGTTACAGATCATAAATGCTGCACTTGCTTTGGCATCGCGACCCAAGAGTCAAGTGGTCAAAAACACCATGGAAATGTATAAGCGCACATGGGAGCATTATGTACATGTTCTCACCGAAGCAGTGGATGACATCACCAGCATTGACGACTTCCTGGCTGTCTCTGGTATGTTTTTGGTCTTCTAATTCATGCTAATAGTACTGTCAACTTTATTTTTTATACTTACCTGTGTATATGTGTTCATATGTACCTGCACATGCCATGGTGCATATGTAGAGATCAGATGATAACTTTCTTCTTCTCTCCTTGCACCATATGTGTTCTAAGAATCAAACTCGAATCTTCAGTCATGGTGGAACATGCCTTCACCATGTACTTCATCAGGTACTGTATGAACTAGGCTGACCATGACCATCATCCATTCGTGCAATATAAGAGATCCTTTGTTCTCTAATATCTGGAGTGGGGTGTGGCTATGCACTAGTATCACAAGAGTCACTGGTGGTCTGTCTGGTATTATGAGTCTCATGCCTGGCAGACTTTGCAGTTCTCAGCTCTCTCTGTGTCTTTAAAAGTTACTCCTCTACATTATTAAAGCATAATGGGAAGCAGGAGTTGGAAGTCTTGGGCATTTTTTGTATTTAATAAATTCACAGGTCTCAACACTTAAAATTCTTAATGACATAAAAATTATACATAAAGTTCCTGGTTTTCCTATACTTGATTTCCAATTAATTTTACCTTCATTCAGGAAAACAGACGCACATGACAGGGACAGACAGAGTGAGACAGAGGCACAGAGAGAGTCAGAGAGAAATATAATCTGGTAATTCAGCTCCCAATATGAGCATTTGATATTACTAACATAAAGAATCTTACAAACAGTCTAAACATCTATCTATGTCAGCAGCAGATGACAGATTTCACATTCCACATGAAGCCCAAGGAATCTCTCCTGCAGACTAGAATGGGATTCCACTAGAGCTGACAAGACTCTCAAAGTCTCTCCCTTCAAGTGTGAATTGTTCTTTCTTAGGTTTGAAGTGGGTAGGGCGAGAGGGTCTGTGGAGGGAGTGGGGGGAGAGTGGGAGGAGGGGAGGGAGTGGGAATTTGGATTGGTATTTTTGTAAGTAATAAAAAAAGAACAAAAAAATTTATTATTGTATTGTCAGAACAAAGAGCTACATTGTTTTTGTCATTTTCCTTGCCTTAAAAGTAATCCATTTGAAGTAAATGATACATTTTCTTATTTATTTTTCATGAGAAGACAATCTTAGAATATGGTACCATTCCTTGGTAATAAAACATACATTCTCAAGAATATCCAATATCTGTTTATTAAGGTCTTCTGATAGAATTTAGACTACTTTTATTAACTTGTGACTTTCACATGTGCCTACTGCATCATCCTAAGCAATTATGCCAGAAATATGATGTATTTTAATGGTATATTAATGATAAGAATGTACTATAACTACTTTAAGTAACTTGATTTTTATTGAATTCAAAATTTGAAAATATAGAAAATGTATTTGAGAAAAGATTAATAGATATTTTCTGTTCAGTAATGCTACTATAATTGTATTTTCAAATTTTTTTATGACACACACACACACTCACACATATACACATTATGTATATACATATATATGGGGCTGGAGAGGTGGCTCAGTGGTTAAGAGCACTGCCTACTCTTCCAAAGGTCCTGAGTTCAATTCTCCGCAACCACATGGTGGCTCACAACCATCTGTAAAGAGATGTAATGAGATGGTGCCCTCTTGAGGAAGAGACCTGGTCAGTCGTCCTTATCAACTTAGACATGAAACCCAATATGGACAAGGTCAATAGAACCACCATATGTAGACTACCCGTGCATACTTCAGCATTATATAAAATATCCTACTAATTACAGGACAGAACTTGCCCTCTTCTAAACCAATCAGCAGAAAGAGAATGAAATTTCTATGATTAGTTTAGAATGGTGGCATAAATGAGTAACTTGGGCCAAGCACATAATGATCGCCTGTATCTGTAGCTGTTGTTGAATTATGTAGCTTAAATACTCACATGGAGACAGCTTTTGAGCCACCATGTGCTGTCACTGAGCAGAGAAAATGGGACATGCATAGACAATTTCTCCATCATGATCTCTATCTCCCTTGCTCAGCCTTGCTTGGTTGTGGATCTCTGCATCCAGTTCCATCATTCACTGGATGAAGGCACTATGATGATAGTTGGGGTATTCACCAGTCTGATTACAGGGGGAGGCCAGTTCGGGCACCCTCTCCACTATTGCAAGGAATCTTAGCTGGGATCATCCTTGAGGATTCTTGAGAATTTCCCTAGCACCAGGTTTCTCCCTAACCCATAGTGGTTCTCTCTATCAAGATATCTCTTTCATTGTTCTACCACTACATCCTTCTCTCCTCTTGACCATCCCTTTCTTCATGTTCACATCCCGATCCTCCCTCTTTATCACACCTCTTCACCCCCAGTTTGCCCAGGAGATCTCATCTAATTCCACTTCCCAGATCGATCCATGTGTCCCTCTTAAGGTCTTCCTTATTACCTAACTCCTCTGGAGTTGTGGATTGTAGTCTGGTTTTCCTTTGCTTTACATCTAATATCCACTTATAAGTGAGTACATGCTGTTTTTATTTTTATGGGTTACCTCACTCAATTTGGATTTTTTCCTAGCTCCATCCATTTGCCTGGAAATTTCATGATTTCACTGCTTTTGATAGCCGAGTAATACTCCATTGTGTATATGCGAGACAGTGGTGAAACTGGGGCTATCTGAGAGGCCCCTGGCAATAGGACCAGGATTTATCCCAAGGGTATGAACTAGCTTGTTGAGCCCATTCTCTATGCGGGAATGCCATGCTGGGTCTTAATGCAGGGGAGAGAGGCTTGCTCCTGCCTGCCCCAGCTTAATGTGCCAGACTTTGTCAACTCCCCATGGGAGCACAAATCAGTTGGGAAGAGTGGATGGGGGTGAGCTAAGGAGAAGCTGGGGTGGGGGAAGGAGCAGTAGGAGGGAGAATTGTGGTTGGAATGTAAAATGAAATTATAAAAATAAGTTATAAAAAAGGTTAAAATGTAAAACAGTCAATTAAAAAAATCGAAATGCCTAGAAGGAGTTTTACCAGCACCAATACACAGGGTCTAAAAAGTCCCTGAGCTTAATCCTTTTCATAATCCAACTTTGTGGATGGTCACTTACCAGGTAAATAAAATGATAATTTCATTAGCAAAAAGGAGACAAAGGAAGAAGATAAGAGGGTAAGTGGTTGTCAAACAAATGATTAAACAAGTTTACTCAAAACACTCTAGAATTTCTACAGAAGTGCTATGGCTTGGTGTTCGTTAAGTTTGTGTGCATTGATTTCACCTGGACTCCAGTGACACTTATAGAATTCAGTTCTTGTTCCATTGATGATATTCCTAGTTGAGTTGGGGAAAAAGAATATAGCTGGTTGTATACATCCTCTTAGCACAAGCTGAAGTAGGAGGTCTCAGGTTAAGTGATAGATGGATCCGTGCTTTCTGGTGACCAGTTGTGGTTTATAGAGGTTAAATATTGGCAGTCATGCCCAGGCAGGTGTTTCCAGGACAGACTTCTGAGAATTTGCTGGTGTGTTCAAAAGTTCCTTAATGCTCTTTTAATATATGTGTTTGTATTCGGACTCTAATTTATCTACTTATCAAGTGGACCAATTAAAATAGTCCCTAAAGCCTAATAAAGACCAGGATTCTGAATTTCAAGGAAGTTTTTGTGACATCCTCCAGAATATCAGGGTCTGTGCTATTTACAAACAGAGGTGAAGATGAAATTTGAGAAACTCTTTTATTTCAAGACTCTCCCATCATCCAAAAAATTTAATGACAGGATATTAGTTATCCGTGTAGGAGAACCAACTGTCAATAGAAAAGTTGTGGAAGGATGACTTGCAAGAGAGCTAAGATGTTATGATTATTGGGAAGAAGGGGATGCAAGAGGAATTGGGGAGCTAACTGAGGGGAGTCTGCAGACTTCTGAAATAGACTCCACTTATTAACTAAACATAGCTATTTCTTTATTGCCAAATGTGTTCTGCAAAATAACAGCATGTTGACTTAGGAACAGTATCGGAATGAATTTGAAGATCTCCTTTACCTCATGTCTACATAGCTCCGAAACATGTCCAATTTTAACCATACTCAATTCTATTTCGTCATTTCAAGTCTCAACCCCTTACTTGTCCTTGGAAGCTCTAGCAATGCATTTACAAATAAGTAGTAGTATTCATTTTCTTTTAAAATTCGGTGTCAACATTAATTTTTCACTGTCTATAGCTTATCCGTTTGTTAGATGTGTTAAGTTCTGGAATTAATGGTTTGAAAAATTTTTATACTAAGAAAAGTAACATTTCTCATTAATCATCGCAGAACCCTGTGGCCCTGACACAGCAAGACAAAGATAAGTCATCAAAAATGCACTGAAAACAGTCTTTTCGTTTATGACATCATTTTTGTCATGACCTTTGGCTTTTATAAAGTTGCAATCTGAATCATCTGACAAAGAAAAATTAAAATAAATAGATTTTTCCATATCTCTTCATAAATTAATGCCAAATAACCACATTATGTTAGCTAAATCAAAACATTGAATTATTTGCATATAAAACACTCCTAAATCTGAAGGTAGTGTTTGGGAGGTAGGGATACATCAAAGTGAAACTTCTGTTGATTAAAGATGTTAAAGGTCTCAGTATAGATATTTCTGAAATAGATGAGATTTTAAAGTCATAATCCACAAAGCCCTAAAAGGGACCTCTATATCCCACTCCACCTCCTCCAAGACTCAGAGAACAGTGCCAAAGAATGGGCAGAAAGTCTGATAAGATCCAGGTGGGTGTAAGGAAGCAGTAGTTTTTGGACACTACACATAGGAACTCACAGACGCTGTGACAGGTCCACAAGACCTGTATACTGTCAAGTCAGTCAGAAGTCCCAGCGTGTGGGTGGGGATCACAAACATTTATTACATCAGCTAAGGAGCTATTGGGAATTGATAGCTGCTGGGGAAGAAAGAATCCGTGTTCTTTAAGGGTGTGTCCCCTTGTAGACTGATATTGGCATCCCCTGGTAGGTAAATTACACTAACGTGGATGGCCTAATATCCA